GGCCACGGGATCGCAACCCTCGGTGTTGCTCCCGCCCCCCCGCTCAGCCAGTGAGCAGCCGGTCTGTATGTGGGATCCGAACCCTTGGCGGGAGCGCCACCGCACTTCCCAAGCGGCGCACTATAGCAGTGCGCCACCTGGCCGGCCCCGGTATTTAAATAACTTTTTTTTTGGTCTTTTTTTTTTTTCGTGCCCGGCAACGGATCACACCCCTCAGTTTTGGGCCCGGCCACGGGATCGCAACCCTCGGTGTTGCTCCCGCCCCCCGCTCAGCCAGTGAGCGGCCGGTCTGTATGTGGGATCCGAACCCTCGGCCGGAGGGCCACCGCACTTCCCAAGCGGCGCACTATAGCAGTGCGCCACCTGGCCGGCCCCGGTATTTAAATAACTTTTAAACATAAGCACTTTTCAAGCTCTTTAGATGCATTTTGTGTGTGTGTGTGCTTATATTTGGACTTAAAAAATTTTTTTAATTTTACTTTACCAATATACATTGTAGTTGATTTTCATGTACCTTTACCAATTCCTCCTTCCCCTCCCCCCGCCATCAACATCATATCTGTTCAGTTGTCTTAACAAGTTCAAGGAATTGTGATTGCTGTGTCTTACCCCCCTCCTGCCATTTATTTGTTTGTGTATTTATTTATTTTTAGCTACCACAAAGAAGTGAGAACGTGTGGTATCTCTCTTTCTGTGCCTAGCTTATTTTTAATGATTCTATAACGATTAACAATTTACTTAGGTATTCATCTGATGAACATTAATTTGTTTCCATTTTTTTCATTATTGTCAGTCAAGCTGCAATGAATGTCTTTGTTCTTTACCTGTTTGGAATCTAGCCGAGAATGCTTTCTTATAGTAGCATCCCTCTGGTTCTGTTTCAATAAGACAACATTTACTGTGTAACTAGCTTCGTTCTTCCCATTTAGTTTTCTTTGCTTTTTTTTTTAAAATTTGATGGCATCACTAAAATATTATAGGATTTCTTGCTTTAAACATGAGAAGCAGCAGGAAAATATTGCATATTAACACATGTACTACAGGCTTGTCTATGGATTAGTATTTCTTTAAAATTCCATGTTACTACAGGATGGAAATGTGTCTCAGCAAAAAATCAGTTCTACTAGAATTCACCCATGTAAGCCTACTGTAAAAAGAATACCACGTTACGCTGACTACTAACACGACAGCACAAAACCAGCTGAATAAAGGAATGTTTGAGACCACAAACACTGTAATATTTTACAGACCTAATCTTTTATTAAGAAACAAATAGAGCTATGTTTTATGATACACTCCAAGTACTTTAATTTTCAATAATGGATTGGGGCTGTCAATTTTTTTAGAAATTCAAAATAAATCTCATTATGAAGCTGTGAGCCTCTCTAAAGAAAACAGATACAAAACAAGGTGACCTCTTTTCAAGTCTGAGGTTCTGTGAAAACACTAAGGTTAGGAAATGACATGTTTTAATGACCAAAATGTTTGCAATGGTGCTATTAAAATTTTCTAAGCTATTTAGTCCGGAACCCAATAAATTTTCAAGTTTTGTTGGTTCTACCTCAAAATCCTTCACATCTATCTATTCTTCTCTGCCCCTCTCCCATCTCTGCCTGTCATTCCTAAACTTCTAAATTGTTCCTGCTCATCTCCCTTAAGGTAATCTTTTTAGCTTGCAAGCCAGATATAGACATGTAGGTTTATTTGTTTATACATTATATAAATGCTACACTGTATTAATATTTATACATTTAAAATTATACAACAATGAAAAGTGAAATGAAAAAATTTTAAGATTAAAGACAAATACAAATAAAAGTTCAAATATTTTTTTGTTGCTCCCCAGCAGACAGTCTCGCACACTCCTAAGGTTGTGTGCCCCACTCTGAAAACGGGCCCAGACTGTGGTATCAACTTGCAAACTGGTTTCTTGGCCTCTTTTTTGCCATTTTTCTGTCCAATCTCAACTCATCTGTCAGTGACCTTTTTATAATGCAAATCTGACCATGTCACTCACCTCAGAATTCTTCTGTGATTCCAAATTGACAAAAAGGTAAAGTAGAAATGTTTTAGATGATCACGTGAGGCCTTTCATTGTTTAGTCCTATTTCCTCACGAATGACCCGTGTTTCAGCCAAAGGAACTACTCATTGAATGACATACTCTTCACACTTTTACTTTTTATTGCAAATAGTATTTCTTTTAGTCAGATTGTTCCTCCTGTGCCTTTTCTGCTCATATTTAACATTTGAGATTTAGCTAAAAAATTTAATTCTCTGTGATATATTCCCTAGTACCTTTTGCCAATTCTTCACTTCTCCCATAGCAACCATTTTACTGTATTTTAATTATTTACTCGGTAAGTCCGACTCTAAATTGAGTTCCTAGAGACTAGTAATCCGACTTACTCATCTTGGTATCTATTGCAACCCGATATATTATGGTAGTTAGAACAATGCCTGGCACATAGCAATACATGTTTGTGGAATAAATTAATGAATGAGGAGCAGCCCACACAAATACTGCTGCAGAAGTCTTTACATATTCTATCTGGTGGCAAATACTACTTTACAAAAATATTCACTTAAGTATGGGGATATCATTTATTCAGGATTAAATATTCACTGTCTTAGAATGAAATCCTGAATTTAAAATTACATGGCAATGGCCAACAGGTACATAAAAAAATGTTCAGTATCACTAATCATCAGAGAAATGCAAATCAAAACCATAATGAGATATTCTCTCACCCCTGTCAGAATGGCTATTATCAAAAAGGCATAAAATAATGTGGAATACTACTCATTAAAGAAGAAATGAAATTCTGCCATTTGCAGCAACACGGATGAGATTGTTAAGTGAAATAACCCAGGCACAGAAAGAGAAATACCACATATCCTCATTCATATGTGGAAGGTAAAAAAGTTGATCTCGTAGAAGTAGAGAGGAGAATAGTGGTTACCAGACACTAGTGAGGGAAGGGGAGGTGGGGAGAGGGTGGTCAACAGATAGAAAATTGTAGAGAGATAGCAAGAATGCAATCTAGTGTTCTATAGCAATACAGGGAGACTGCACCCCACAACAAATTACTGTATGACTTCAGAAGGATGTTGAATGTTCCCAAAACAAAAGAAGTGGCAAATATTTGAGGTGATGGAGGTGCTAAACACCCTGCTATGATCGTTACATACAGTATAAATGTACCCAAATATCATATTGTACTCCATAAATACATATAATTATCATGAATTGATTAAGAAAAAATAAATTAAAAAGAAAAAAATAACTTCAGAGACAAAAGTAGGTTAGAGATTGACAAAAATGGGAGGGGGAAGGAATAATGAGAAGTTATTGCTTAATGAGTACAGAGTTTATGTTTAGGATGATGAAAAAGTTTTGGAAATAGATAGAGGTAGTAGTTACGCAGCATTGTGAATGTAATTAATTCTACCCAGTCGTATGTTAAAAAATGAAATTCTTATATATGTCTTACCACAATAAAAAAGAAGTAGAAAAAAATAAATATGAACACACTAAATAAATAAGTAAAATTACATAATAAGATGAGTGATGGAGCTGGTGAAAGCACCCAGTGATTGAAGTGTTTATGCCAGTGTTCTTCCTGCTCAGCAACCCTGACTGCCACTTAAAGGAGGAATGGATTATGAAGGTTATTTATTGAACTTTGACATGGGACAAGTTTAAAAAGTCAAAGATTTTCCATTAACTAATATTTACAGGTGATCTTTAATAGTTTTCAGAATCTTTAAGAGGTTTATTTCTACTCTTATGTCATTTAAATTTTTAAAATTAGGAATTATTGTTGATTTTTATTATGTTCCCATTTAACACTTGTTAATATAATTTTTTTTTTACTCCTTTAAATTAAGATCTAATAAGTTATATTGATTTATTGCCTGATATTGAAAAATCTTTGCATTTCTCTACTATACCTTCCTTGGTCACGGGTTTATTCTTCTGAGAGTAATGTATTAAATTTGTTAATATTTCATCTGTATATTTTGCACTATTCTTACTCTATAAGAGTAATGGATTTCTATTGGTTACATCTCAATCTTTTTTTGTGTGTGTCCATTTTGAGACCGGCCGCACCGCGCTCAGCCAGTGAGCGCTGTGAGTGCACCGGTCATCCCTATATAGGATCCGAACCCACAGTGGGAGGGCTGTGGCGCTCCCAGCGCCGCACTCTCCCGAGTGCACCACGGGCTCGGCCCTACATCTCAATCTTGAACCAGTAACTCTTTATTATGTTCTAGAAATCGTTTGAAATAAGCATTGAATCAAACTCTCCTCAAAGACTGAATTTAGGTCTGGAAGTTCTAGCAGTTGTATCGTCAGGAATTACGATAGCTAATATTCATTAAGTGCTCACCTTGTGCCACTTTTTTTTTTTAATTTTTTTTTGGCCTTTTTGAGACCCGCACCGTGCTCAGCCAGTGAGCGCTGTGAGCGCACCGGTCATCCCTGTATAGGATCCGAACCCGCGGCAGGAGCGCTGCTGCGCTCCCAGCGCTGCACTCTCCCGAGTGCGCCACGGGCTCGGCCCGCCACTTACTTTTTTAAGTGATTTGTATGTATTAATTCATTTACATCTTACAGCATTCCTATGAAACAGAAATTATGATTGCCCCCATCTTGTGGCAGAAGAACAGAGACATAGAGATGTAATGTACCCAGAAGGTCAATTGTAGACACAGGATTTGAACTCATGCAGTCTGGGTCCAAGCCTACATTGTTCAAAATTTGTGTTCCTCCAGTAACACAAATCTCAGGAATTATTTGTTCAAAGACAGAATCTAACGCAATCATTGTTAATAACCTATGACTATTTAACCAATGTAGAATCTATAAGAAAAATAACTTAACTATATACCAACTACTAATATAATAATATAGATTGGAGGAAACTGTATATAACTATTAAACAACTTAAATGAAGATATTACCAAAGTAATAATATATTTTTTTCATCTTTTCAGCAATCTTGACACAGAAGAACTATGTGGTAAGTTTTTCTTAAGACAAATCAAACCTATAAATTGTCTGATATTTTTCTACATACCTTCAAATTCATGTCATAGAGTAGGAGTTCTGGAATAAAGTAAAAGACAAATCAAGATGCCAGGGGATTTATCTTCATCCATGAGTTTTGCTCAAGCACATATTTAACTGCAGAGGGAACTGGGCCTCATTAATTTGTTCGTGGAAGCAGAGTTGTTATGCAGTTGGTGTACACATTTAGTTTCACAAGAGCAAATTCTCTACCAGTTTGAATATATTTTTAAATTGGTGTTTTATACACCTTCATTATCCTCTTCACAATATATTGGGTAGAGCCTTTTGTTACTGTTTTGCAAAGCTGTCTCCTTGAATATAAAAATAACTTTGTATCATACCTGCATAAGCCATTCTGGAATTTTAAATGTCACTTGCAAAACAAGTGACTCAAGATAAATCTTTACAAATACCTGGATTATTGGTCCTTCATTTATTTTGTTCATCTTTGCAGTTGGAAACAAAAGTCAAAGATCAGGAATGTGGAAAGGCAAATATTTTTGAAATTGATTCTTTCTTATAAAAAATTATGGAGCATTATAAGACTATTAGTCTGACGCAGCCATGTTTCTCTGAATACTGGAAGGTTTTAAGTTTTATGTTTTAAGATAAATGAATAAGGTAATACCTTTGTCCAAGTTTGATCTTCTTGTCTTGGG